ATCGTTCTTTTCGTGTATATAGATTGCCTATTCACTAAATTCTTTGGAATGGAATTTCACTCTAAAGAGTGAAAATTGAACTAGAAAAAGAATGGCTCAATTTTCAATCTTTAAAAGTGAGATTTCATTCTTCAGAATTAATTTCACTCTAAAATTTTTTCGAGCCTAAAATATATTATTATATATAATGTCTCATCAACATTTACAGTGTGATTTGCCTTATTTATCAATCTCTTTGATATATTTACACCGGAAGTGTGGCCGGAAAGATTAGGAAATGTGCTACTCGCGCACGCTTTCATCTCTCGCGGTGCTTCTCATTATCTGAACCGCAGTTTTTTCTGCAGCGAATTATCACATGACGCAATCATGGATAGAATCATCGATGGAGTCATCGATGAAAATGCTGTTTTGATATAGATATTATAAAGACATTTCGTCATCGACATTTGTGTATTAATTCAAGAGTTTCATAATCCTCTTGTTCCTTTCCCTCCTCAATCTAATTTTTTTCTGCTGTTCAATCGCGAATTTAGTTGACGTTCCATATATTTCGCTCGGAAAGGAAGGAAGAAAGGAATGATGTCTTCGGATGTGGGTGGCTTCATGGCAGCGTGCGTAACATTGGCATTGATTGTCGCGTCGTTTCCGTCCTGATATCGCGGATCGCAGTAAAATGTGAAAGGAAGCGGAAAAGGTATGATCGTAATGGGATTAATGGCACGCCCTATTATTGAACGTACATGAAAAACCTTTCACGCACATCCTATTACTGGCTCAGTAAACAAAGTGTGCCATGAGAAATGATCATTGCAAATAAGATAAGTCGGCAGGGTTTTTATATCACAATATCGCGATATCCTAGCTCCATTAATGTTCGATTATTTATATACATGCAGAAACTTAAAAAGAACATATTAAATGAGAAAATTTTAATATAAATCATTATTAATGCTTTTTTTGCACAGAATTAAATATTTAGAAGAATTCCTCTAAAATTCCTTTAAAATTAAAATTAATAAGCTTCGTAAATATCGGATGACTTACTCCTTGTTGCGTTAAAATCGATTAATCATCGTGAATAAATCCAAGGCCTCGTCGTCGAATCTCCTTAAAAAGATTTAGAACGTGGACATAAATACATGCTTGTCCGCGAAATTGTGAACGAACTCTTTGGAGAGAAGGACTATTTTTGTTACGCGCGCGTCTGTTTGATCTAATGAAAGCCATATTCCATATTCAGTTCAATTATTCGTTCAATCTGCAATTCATTACAGAATCGTCAAGCATCATCGTGGGAAAAAGATGTCCATCGTTTTGAGCGCGTACGATATTTATGTTTATTTCTCAAACTATTAATCCTTCCTAAGCTAGGAATTCTCTAAAGCTGCTTAAAATTCTTCACTACAGTTGTGTATGTGATATCACACAAATAAATTTTGACAGCCAAGCTTTTTATTTTGCTTTTAATCGCCTATAATTAATTTTTTTCTTTTTCATTGAGAAATGTGATAAAGAAGTGTCTTTGAGATTCATAAGGTCAGTGTAACGGCACGTATAAATACGTATATATGATAGTTAAAATAATCAGGTTAATGCGATGATAGAAACCGGTGGATAAATTATTATTATTTTCCAGCGATATAAGTAATTGTCATCTTTTTAATCATTTTATGATGATTGTTACCGTTGGCACGTGTCTGCCGCACAATTTTGCGCCAAACCAATTAAAAAAACACTTTTAATTAAAGGAATAGATTCCTGAGGTTTTATAGAATAGCCTCTTGGAGAAATATTTGTTTACAGGTTCCCTACTTGCTTTTTTTATCCATTGTTAATTTTATCTCGATCTTCTCATTTACATCGTTAAATAATTCCAAGGGACACGTCATCTATTCGCTTATTTAAGGCGTAAAAAGAATCGCAATGTGGGATCATCCTTTTACTTGCGTCGTCTAAAAATATGTCGGACGTACATGAGGAGGCATCGAGACGCCGAGGCGTTCTCGAGTTACCTTGGCGAAGCCGACATGCGTTTTAATGAGCAATGGATAAGCATACACAAAATTATCGTCTCGCACACGTCAGATATCTAATGAGATATTGATTACGCTTACATCGTGCGAAATATACAATACACTGCACTACGATGTGTATAATTAACATGCCGATTGTCGCCGTCGTGTCGTATTTCTTATACGAGTATTATCACTCGAGCTAATTAATGTCAATTAAGTTTCGATTTCAAGTTTTACGATCGAATTTTACATAGCAAATAAAAGATATTCTCCTTACTTATCGTTACGATATAAGAAATTATCTTTCAGCTATGCTAAAATGCACGACGTAATGTAACTCTGCATTGACATTCACCGATAGTGCTATTTTAATTTTAATATTCACCACTGCACGTTTTCGTCCAAGGCTGCGCGTCTGACACGCCGTGTCTTGTCTTTACGCGGAATATCGTCGGCATGAAAATGCACCGCGAACGAAAGAATGGAAAACATATTCGCGTGAAACGAGCGAAATTAAACGTTATGGAATAAGACAAATATTTCTGGCGCATGTCGTAACTCGACGGCGTATCTCGCAATTCTCTTCGTGACCCGCAGTCTCTCAATAATTGCAGCAAATGAAGTTAAAGCAATAACGTGGGAGGCACAAATACGTAAACGTTTTATGCGCTCGATTGCTTTGCTCTCCGCTTCTGTTCAATTTAATTTGTTCAGGGAGTACCTTTCTACATGCATATTATATTCACGCGAAAGTTTTACACGCTGTCCATGCATGTCATATCTATATTATCGATATCACTCTAAAACGGTCAGGGTTATGAATATTAATTCTATGAAAGATGTAAGTCGGTCGCACGAGTCTCATAAATTTACATTACGATTCATAGGATTATGTAGCTGAGATAGCGATTATACAATTAGAATGATTACGGCTACTTTGCGAATAGCGTCTGTCACGACCGCATCGAATCGCAATGACGTAATATGAGCGAAAACGCGAAAATTCGCGATGTGCAACGTGACTTAGCGTGGATAAGAAACGCATTTGTGTCGATCTGGATTCGAGGAAACCTTTCCACAATTCGACGTAACTTTACACGTTGCCCGATTCACTTGCATTTACGATTTGCACAATTCGGCGAAGCGATTTTACAATTTGCCGCTACTGCTAAGAAATCGAGTCGATTCACTGCGCAGTTAATGAAACTCGTTCGTACCTGAGAATTGATCTGTTTGGTGAAAGTTTTCTGAGCTCGCTTTGATTGCAGTTTTTCAACAGAGCTATTTTATGAGTTGACAATTATTTTATTTTTATATTTTTGTTTATTTAGTGGATAACAAGCAAATATTGTTATTCAAACTGATGTTTCACGTAAACTTCAGTCATTAAGATAATAGTTTTTCTTTGTATGCGTTCGATAATTTTTTAGGAAAAAATATCTAGGATAAAAAATTATTTTGAAATGTAAATCATGTGTGATGGTGAATTATAGAACGGAATTCAAATTTCCTGAGGGTAAAATGGGATATCAGAGGGTTTAGGATCATTAAAGAGAGATAATTTCGTAACGATGAGGGAAAAAGCTTTCCAAGATAGTAAGCTGTTGAGTCGATTGGTTTCGGTTTACGCTTTTACATTGACGTCAAGCTTGCACGTTCGCTCCGATTTGTCGGATCGTCAATTATTGCTTTATCCGGTCGATCGTACCGCCTAACTTCCCGTTCCTCTTCACCGATGATTCTAAACACTTTTATGATGTGGAATTCAATGGTCATATTTATTAATATAATCTATCTAATAAAATAATTGTTTATAATTTTAATCATTTAAACATGTTTTGAACTGTGAATTAATCGTAATGAGCGATACAACCAGAAAGGTAGAATTCTATAAAAAATAAATAAAAATATAAAATAAAATTTCTTCATATTTTTCTGATTTTTCGAAAAGAAAATTTTGTATAAAATAGCAATAACAAGTTGCGATATCAAAATGACATTAAAATGAATCTTAATGATTAAAAAATTATGTTTGGTAATCATTTTAAAGTGATTTTGATGTTATGATGACTTGTGTTATATAAAAAGATAATTTGGGATTCATATCGTTTTATCGATAAATTGTAACTCTAGAGTAAGCGGAATATGCTGAAAAAGCACACAAAGCATGATTGAAAAATACACGCATGATAGTAAATTGCTCGTTCTAGCAAAAGATCCTGATAACGAATTTAGTGTGAACGAATTGTGAAAAGTTTGTCTCGTGCCACTTTTGCCCCCGAACTGTCCATTAATCGCGCCGCGGCTATCGCGAACGTAGAAATCGAGGTTAATCCGCGTTTCATGGCACTGATCTCGGACACCGGTGATGGGCTTGACGTTGACGCATCGGTTAAATGGACACCCGATCCCCTCGAAGGGAATCACTCTTGGTGAGCCTGTATGAACTGGAGACAATGCACGAATGCAACACAGTCATATGTACGTGTCATAGATTGATCCTAGTCATCATTCAATAATCAGTCGTAGTATCGTAATTGCAATGCTAGCTCAAGGATAAATTGAGACGAGTTCTTTCGCTTGCGATTGATATACAGAACGTATCTCTCTCCGCTTAAGATATGGATGGATTATAAGTTTGTACTATTAAATAAAGAAAGATTATCTCTAAAAATTTGACCCATATAAAATAAATTACTTCAATCCATTAAAGACCGATTCTAAAATATCTATAATATTTTCTTTCATGATGGCACCGAACTTATTCTTTTACTAAATCCTTAAGATTATTTAGAATTTATTCTGTAAATTTTAAATTAAATTTGTTAATGTAATTTTTTTCATTGTAATCTTTTTCGGAAAGACGAGGAAAGATTAAAATAAAAATAGTAATGTTCATGCATTCCAGCATTAGAAAATATTTCTCTTCAATACTCAAGATTTCGACGCCATAACTAGAATACGCTTTCTCCTCTATTTCAGACGACTCTTACTATGGTTATGCCGGGTGGAATGGCAAGTCGTCGTTCGATCATTACATTTCGAATATCAGACTGATCGACGGTAAGAATGTAGAGAGAGTACGTCGAGAGGCGCCTGAAAAATCGGTGATGACGACTGAGAAAGACATATCTAAGCATCAACCATCAGCACAGCCGCAACCACAGCAGCAGCAGCAGCAACAGCAACCACAACAGCAACAGGAGCAACCAAAGCAGCAGCAACCGCAGCAGCAACAGCAACCACAGCAACAGCAACAGCCGCAACAAACGCCAGCAACACAACCGACGTCGAACACAACCAACGCATCCGCCGACGTAACGTATTCGACAGTTTATTCGATCAGCGAAGCCACCACCACCACCTCCACTGTTCGGCCACCTGATCCTATTTCCAGCTCCAAGCCGGATTCAAAGAAGAAGACGTCGCAGACAGTAAATCCTGCAACCGACACGGTAGGTGTCAGTAATGGATTTATTCAGTCATTTTTATGTTTAGATTCGCTCGTGAAGTTGCCAATCGCGTCACAACTGTTTAACAATTATTGCATCCGTTTGAAACTTGTTCGCAGGCGACACTACACATATGGACAAATCGCACTCTGGCAAATCGCAATATAACCGGCAAGGAGCAGCAGCCAGAATCATCAGCGGTGAAGGACACAACAGAAGATGTCATGAAATCCGACGACAGCGATATTTCCTTTAACAAATTCTCCGATGTGACCAACGCCACGCTTACACAAAACAACATCACTAAAACGATGTACGACTCCCATCAGTATTACAACAGCACTTTTATCGTCGACACCGATATCTGCAAAAAATACTGGGTCGACATGGACAATCATCCGGATCTTAGGGTCAATCATCTACTTAGTCAGAGCCATCGACGCGCCGCGGTGAGACTCACTTGTCATTATTTTGTATTATGGCGATTCTCTTGTGAAAAATTGAAAGTTATATAAAATATACTACATATTGATACTTTTAGATTTTATATAACAGCAAAGAAAAAAGCATATAGATACAAATATAGATATATATATATATATATACACACACATTCAGAATATTCAATCCCTATTATAGCAAAAAATTACATAAAACAAGGAAAAAACAGTTTTGTTGAAATATCTAAGAATTTAGCTAGATATAGATCTGAAAACAAATTTTGTTGAACTATCAAAATAATTATGTGGAAGACTAGAATGTTAAAACTTTTTGCAGCGTTGCTCATCATTTTTTAATTACCTACACAATTATTTTGATGATTCATGCAATTATTTTTTTATATGTATCTATCTAATGCAAAATCGTTCTTTCCGTGAACTTATATGTAAGAAACACGAGAACAGTTAATCATTAAATCCTTATAAGTCTGGATAAGAATTGAACTATGATTTCTATGCTGTTGCAGACCGTTAAGCTGAAGTTTGATTTCCCATTCTACGGCTATAATGTGCGCAATATTACTATCGCTACGGGAGGTTTTCTATACACCGGCGACTACGTACACAGTTGGCTGGCCGCTACCCAGTACATTGCACCGCTCATGGCAAATTTCGATACCCGCCTGTCGAACGCCAGCTACGTCAAGTACGCTGACAATGGTGAGTCATCGGAATCTCGAATGGATGGCATTTTCATGCCATCTGAAGAACGTTCGTTCTTACGTTTTCCTCCGAACGAAAGTCAATCGTTGCCAATCAGTGCCCATTACGGTCGAACCATTTAAGAGATTCTTCGCGTGTTTACCGTGACTAGTATATTTCAAATAATCCGTGTTCAAAAATTTAAAGAAATCCTATTACGATCAGTGAGTTCTCTCATAATTTCGCATGCTTTTCAAAACGTTTGATAGCCTTCTCAAATCCTTCCGAGCTGATTTTCTAAATCCTTTCTCCTCGCCGGATTGATCGTGTCGCAAAGCATTCGCGTCAGTAGTTTCTGCGATCAGCAATCTTTACGGGAGGTGGAGGGTGAGAGAAGGATAAATCGACGCAACGATTTGCCGATCGTAATTACACGCCTCATCAAACAACCAGTGGCAAAGAAACGTGGCACAAAATGTAGCCGGAGTCGTGCATGGATCTCAACGCGATTGTTAAATCCTCTTTTTGATTTGTACGACAGGTACGGCGTTTACGGTGGAATGGGAGAAGGTTGTGCTACAGGACAGGCCAAAAGCCGGCGCGTTCACTTTCCAAGTGACCTTGCATCAAAACGGAGACATCGTGTTCGTCTACTCGGTGATACCGGTCCTGGTTGAAAAAATCGCAGACACAATGCATCCCGTCAAAGTGGGCCTCAGTGATGCCTACATCATGGATCGAACTGTGTTCTGTAAGTATTCTCTTGCTTATTATCTAATTTGCTCGTTTATTTGTTGGATATATGATTGCATCATGGAATAATATCTTATCATTATTGATCATCGGATGTAGAAAAACTTCTATGTGGACAGAGAATAGTGTTAATTATGAACTCATAATCAGTCTAACTTGACATCATAGAAGTGATCAGAAATTCTGTATAAAGTAGCGTATCTCTTGCGATTTTCTATGATAATAAACTTGCATGGTCTATCACTTCCGTGATAAAAGTCAGAAATTTACAATGTGAGATGTGAATTATCGCGCACAAGATGTTATTTCTATTTATTAATTATTTAATTTATAGATATCGAAGAGTATCTTCGAATTTACATTAAAATCCAGATATAAATTTTTGAAATGGTGATTTAAATAGACATACCGCGAAATATGTTTATTGTTTTAACAAATTAAATATATCTAAAGATACACCCCGAAAATTCTATTCGAAAACTCGCTTTGCAGTCGTACGCCGGAAAACCATTTACGAGTACCACCGTGTCAACTTCAATCGGCAGGATATAATGAACTGCACGGTCATTTACCTGAAAGCATTGCCTACATGCCTCAATTCCGACAACTGCGTGGATTGCCTGACAAAGGTGCCAGACTTCGATTGTAAGTGGTGTTCGGAGCTGAACAAATGCAGCACCGGCACGTCCCGACAGCGACAGGAGTGGTTATCAAAGGGTTGCGACGTCCATAACATCAAGGAGGTAAACAATTGTCCAGCGCAAATTACAACCTACAAAGGTGACCAATATGACCACGATGGTCATGTGCATCCAGAGGAGCCGATCACCACCAATGAAATGGGCATAGAAAAACACTCAACATGGTCTGGCAATACTTTGGAAAGTCCTAGTAAGTACTTTTGTTTATCGTTTTTGGTGGTATTGAGTCATTAATTGAATTTGACAAACTTTTATATATATATATGTAGATCCGTACGTGATACAAGATAGTTTCAAATTTTATACAAAAAATGCAATTTGTTAATACAGTCTTAAAACCAGCTGAAATTAATTCGCATAATTTCCGCGATACTTTAGCTCGAAGTACATTTAATCGTTAATCGAAATAATCGATTCACAGAATCGAAACAAACGAATCTTGTATTATTTGCTCTAATAATCTCTCTTTTCTGTTAAAATTCAAGATAATCAGATTTGTCATATTAAGCAATTTATTCCGTTTATTTTTTAGATTCGAACAAGGTGAATATGGGCGTTTCAGGGATAATCGGCATTCTCACAGTTATCACTTTAGTGGTAGGTCTCGCGGGTTGGGGTGTATATGCTTATCGTAACCCTCACAGCGCATCGGGACAAATGCTAATAAGGGTAAGAAGAGTCTCTTTGAATTATAACATTAAATTATAGCATTATGTAAATGAGTAATTATCAATATTTCTCTTTCCTTTTTGTTCTTTTCCACTATCATCGTTTGCATTTATATTATTAATTAAAATATTATTTATTGCCTCTTATTGATTTTTATTGTTACCTATTAAAAATTAAATATTAATTATCTAATTATAAATCATTGAAATATTGATAATTACATATTTTTCGTTTCAATTGACTATTAAATATGGATTTTTCGCCTATCGATTTTATTGGTTTCTTAATACCAGATATGTTAATTTTGCGTTTACTGATCTCATCTATCACGGAATTGACCTTTCAGTATCGTCCGAGCCAATGGAGCTGGCGAAGAGGCGAAGCCCGTTATACAGCCGCGACTATTCACATGTGATGAAGTGTCGATGGAAATCCAGTCACAGTCAATGCGAAACTGTCGAGTAAATTTCCTATTAATTGTAGTCGAACATGTCGAGTAAATCTGCCAAATGCGATGCAGAATGTCTACTCACGATGACCCATTGCTCGTCAGGTTTGCACTCAATCGCGTCAATACGAAAAATCGCTTTTCTCATGCAACGAATTCCACGGAATCGATTAACAAGCGACCATATATTGAGAGAACATATCGCGATATTTAAACGATTTTATAAACTCTCTCGTATATATAAATATTTTAATGATATGAGACAAATTGCTTATAATTGACAATAATTAAATTTAGCTTAGAAAAAAAATCTATTCCGCTGGAAATTATAAAACTTCTATTTACTTATGACAAGTTTACGAATAATCGCTATCAATTCGGTGTAACATGTATATATAAATTCATTTTTACAAATGGAAAGACCGCTCTCCTTACGATTGTACCAAACAGAAAAGGTTTTTGGAGACATTGTGAACCGCATCTTTTGCGACACGTCTTCAAAACAATGGTTAACAATCGGTACCATTTCGTTGAGTTTATTTAGATATCAAATCCGTACAGAATTATTAGTTAGAATTATTATGCTTATTCGTGAATAGATGGAAATGCGATGTTCGATACAAGGTCCTTTCTCGCATACCAATGACGTTGGAAATTGTACTCGGCGAAATGACACCGGTATTAAACCATGCTTTGAAACACGACCGATGACACAAACTGCGGATACGAGACCGATATTGTTCTGACAGACTAAGGCTCTGGAGAATACGTTCACGGTTTCTCGCAATGTCGGAAGAAGATGATCGTAATATCGAGACACGGATGACGACCGGCAAACGCCGAGCATTTATGTGATTCTTAGCAGCACGTGGTATACCTTGTTATTGTTTGAGAATTCATTTTCTTTTTTTTTAACGTTAGACAAATTGAAGTAATTGTTTTATATATACGTAATATTCACGGCAAGAAGAGAGCAACGTTTTAAAAAAGGAAAGAAAAGGAAGAAGAAGAATTGAAAATAAATTGAAAATTTCGATCTAGCGCGAGCGTGGTGAAATTTGATGGGCTTATGCTACAGTTCGGTAGGCTGTTCAAGAAGTCATCAAAGAAAGAGGAATATTTTTAAATTATTTATGCTTCAGTTTACATCGTTCGAAAATGTGTCCTAGAATCATCGTATTGTTGTCGTCACATTCCAAAGCATACACGTTTCTCGAAAGTGAATTACAAAGCCACGTACGAACTGTAGTTTTATCGTCCCAAATTATCACACAAAATACACATCAATATATATAAATAACTATACAATTATATGTATTAATAATATTATATATATACATATAATTGTATATAATTGTTTATGTATATATTATTGAAAAGTATATACATATAAATGGTTATGTATGTTCTGTAATTATATAGTTTTAACTATATAATTATATGTGTAGTTACAACTATATATAGTCTTTTTATATACAAAAATATATTTTACGACAGAATTTTTTGAAAATCACATGAGCACTTATAAAGCGCGTGAAACGATAAATGAGCTAAGAGAAAAAAGGATAGCACGAGATAAAGATTTTATAGCATCTACAATTTCATTAGTTTGTGAGTGTATATAGTAGTTCTATGAAAACAATATAATTTTTATCTATTTTTAAGTGTATAATTTTCACTGTCAAAAGGTGCCTTCTTCGTGAAATTTTCAAACGACATATACTGTATAATAATAAATAAGCGACGGAGAGGCCTGAGGGAAAATCTCACATTGTAAATCACTATTCCCAAAAGATTGTTTCGATCCTCTTTGCGAAGTCGAATTTTCTACGCAATAAAGATGTAGTGTTATGAATATCTATAAACATTATAATTTATTAATGTTAATAGATATTCATATTGCGATATCGTATTGCATATATCGATTGCGATTTTACCACGCGACGCAACTAACGGAGGAGACTGGAATGAATTATTGTCAAACGGTTTTTCTTACATTACTGTGTACGATTTAATTCATAGTTTGTGATAATAAATATTGTAATTATTATAGTAAGTTTTATGTAGTTTCTCCTTATTCGCGAACACTTTTTGAATAAAAAATTCCTTACACCCAGCGACAAAAAGTAAATAAATAAAATATCTATTTTGCAAAAAAATAATAGTTTCAGCACGATATAATTATTTGCAGAAGTGTACGTTTACAAGACAATTTAGATTGAAAAATCATATATAGCATACTTGCAGTCGATAAGCATCTTGCGGTTTCGTATCTCGATTACCAGGTGACACTCGGTGCATTAAATTAAACCATGGGGCTTATTCCTAAATCTATATCGTACACGAAAATCTATAATATAAATAACACATATACTATAATATTTTTGTATGCAATGTTTTTTTAGAAATTATATCCGCGAACATCAAAATATATTAGTACTAGAATGTAAAATATTATACTTTTGTTTTCAAATTTACATGTATCATACATACAGTTTTATCAATAAATATAAAATATATTTATTGGAGATACATACAGTTTTCTTTTTATTTCTTATAAGAAATTGATAAATTGATAAATTTTTCATCGTTATGATTCAAATGTTGCGATATATTGTTATCATTAGATATTCTTTTATGTTTTCATGTATACATTTTTAGATAAAAAACAATTTCAAGAGTGCCATTTAAAATATTACGGCGTGAATGTGACGCTTTCTATGTAATCGCTTTGAGGAAATCTTGAATAGCTTCCTCAATCTTCGTTAAATCCTATATGTTGCCGTCATTGTTCTATTGCAGTTGGGACATTCGTAAATGACTGGCGTCAGACTGAACACGTTAGAACCATTTAGTTATGCGACGAGGAAATTGCGACGAGAGCACCTCCGGTGCGGAAGGAGTGTACAGTGCGCATATGGAACGTATGCAGTCGTAATATGTAATGAGAATACGTCGGAACACGTATGTTCTCTCGGGAATGTGTTGACATGCCGTATCGGAGTTTCCTTTCATACGAATCACACTGCGAGATAGTACAGAGTTTTAATCTTAATATTTAAACGTTAATAAAAATTTCATCTCATTGAAAAAATAATGCATTGCACTTGAGAAAAATAGACTTAAAGAAAAAGATCTCTTTAAATAAAAATTTTATTACTTTGTTAAAAAAATTGTTTTCTTAAACAATGTAACAAAGAACAGAATTTGTTTTCTTGAAAATTGCCTTGTAAAACTATTATATCTAACGCGAAAATGCAAGCTTCTCATCATCTTTCCTGAGAAAGGAATGCTAAAAGGAATATGTAATTGCATCGACGCGTAATGAATGTATTCTCGTATACGAATGAAAACTGAATATATATTCGCGAACTAATTAAATAATCATATTTACTACATTTCCAATTTATTTTCTTTTATCAAATTTGCAAATTTGTTCGCTTGCTGTTTCTATGCTGATAATATATTGCAATAATCAAACATATTTCATTCACGTGCAGTTTTAAAAAGAATGTGTTGTCGTGAATGCTTAAATAAAAGAGAATTCGTTGAATAAAGATTATCTAACAAATAATACGTCACAGAAACGGAGTAAGACTTCGCCATTTTTTGCTGCAATTTTTATTAGATTAATTTTAAATAAAATAATAATAAGTTACCATTATTTTTTATAGTTCCTGACGTAAAAGTTAGTTAAAAGAAAGTATATTTTTCGCAAAAGTTATATTTCATTCTTAAAGCTATTCTTCTTTTTCTGCTATAACTGTATCAGTTGCATTGCGGTTGAATTACTCCATTTCCACTTTTATGAAAAATTTGTAATTATATCTTATTTAATACTACATACATCTACTTTTTTCAAGACCATATCATTCTTCTCGTTTTATATGTCACCGAAGGCAATTTTTCCTGACTTTTTGAATGTTTTATCACGTATGACGAGCAAAAAAAATCACATGGCTTTTAGAATTTCGAGATTTATTTGCACAGATTTTAAAAAATCGGACTTCATCCACGTTTTTATTGAATCTTTCCAATGAAACGGATTTTCGACGCGTAACGAATCCTATTTCGCCCTAGCGATATGTGACAAAAGCTGCCGCTTTTCGATGCACTGAGGATGCTATATATGTTTTTTATCGTACCATAGAAATCTTTTGTAGACGCAGTTTTCTTCTCTGTATAACCCATTTTAACTTCTCAGTTTAATTACGAAACTAAAATCGCAGAAGCATTTCTTTATGTCAAACATTAAAATTGTTACATTGTCTAAAACATTTTACATTGTCGTATACTATAGTGTATAGTATCCTAGTGGTACACTAAAATGTATTATTAATAGATTTAGTTAGAAATATTAGAAAATATCCTACACTTTACACTTTCGAATTTTAATGTCCTTACTTTACATACACTTCAGAATTTTAATATCCCTATTTTACACTTTAAAGTTTTAATATCCTAATTCATAGCATATTAAAATTCTAGAGTGTAAAGTAATGTGTATAAAATTTGAGACAAATGTCACTTATCAAAGAATCAATTATTAACAGTGACAAATAAAATTTTGGATTAATAATAAATCTAGCTAACTGTTTAAGTAATTATCATGTTAAGAAGCCCTCCCCCATTATTACACGGAGAATTCTTTTAGCCTTATTTTCCATTTATTTATAATATCATCTTGGTTAGTCGTGTATGTGTCCGAGAGAGTAACCACTTAATGTAATCGTGGGACAGAGTCCTCGAAATTATTATAAAATTCATATGAAATCTCTATGTATAATTCAATAATTACATATGCAACCACGAGAAATCATTGTATAATATTAAATAAAATCGTATATTTTACCAAATGACTTCATATGTAATGAAAGAAATTTGTAATCAAATGAAATCATATGAAATCAAATAAAATCATGGGACAAATGTAATCTGTGGGACAATATTTCAGCTAGTGGTTACTCTCTCTCTCGTATGTGTCAAGACTCTTTACAATAAAAAAAACTAAATATCGAAGTATAATTGGAAGAAATAATATTTCTCTATGTCATAACGTTTCGTCATATGTGTGTTATTTTTACGAATGTAAACTACCGTTTTAGATTCAAAGGATTTTCACGTCCCGAATTGCTATAACGAAATTTTATGAGGCCGCCGTGTTGCAATTCCAAAACATCGATTCACCGTTACGGATATCGGGCTGACTTCATAAACGAGATGGGCACGTGCGATATTGTCAGTGAGGTTTATGTTCA